TTTGGAGATCAGCAACCTGTTTTAGAGCCAACCTTCCCCCTTCAAATGTAAAAGAATGAAAGTGAGCAGAGTTGAAGGATAGCATGAAACGAAAACAAAGTTCTGTTCAACTCAGCTCTTCCCTCTTTTGGAGAATGGGGTGCTCTTTGAGGAGTCTCTGCGGGTACTCCACTTCTATTGGGAGATTTGTAGTAGCAGTGCCCAAGTTGGCCTTCCTGCCCAGCAGCTGTCTCATGCCAATTTGTGTGGCTACCTAGCATGCGCAGCCAACTGCTACCCAGTCCTTCGTCTGCTGCCTTAGGCTCGAGTCAGAGAGGCAGCAGCACCCTTCAGCCTCAGAGAGAGTTCACATTCCTTTCCCCTTTTTGCTTTTCCCACACTCCCACCGCAGCCCCCCTTGCTTAGGCCCATCACAGGCACTCACCACTGCACAGAAGACAGGAAGGCTCCCAGCACTCACAAGGGGAGCATACCTGGCATAGGGCCCAGGAGGCAGTGTTCAGCGGCAGAATCAGCAAAGCCAACATACAGCCTCCCTCAGCCCAGCAAGCTCTGCTTGCAGAAATGAGGGAGGGCAGTGGCACATAATTCTGTCCCTCCTCCCCCCCCCACCTTGCCTCTGCTTGTGGGGGCAGTCCCCCTGCAAGCTGCACCCATGGACACCCCTCCGTCCCCCTTCGCTTTCCATCCCTGCTCTTTCTACAGGGAAGCACAGGAATTCCGAGGGAGGGGTCATTGTCTGCAGGTGTGCAGTCACGCAGAATCTCCTCAGGAGTAATATGTGGGCACTCAACCTTAGAACGTGTTAACATCGTACAGCAGTGGGGTCTGCCAGCTGACTGCCATCTGCTCATTCTCTGGCCTTTGCAGTGCAGACTGTCTAGTGCTTTTAAACTGTTATTTTACACTTTGTCTCTTCAACTGCTTGGTAGTCGTAGATTCTAACTTCTCCTTACGCCAGCCTGTGCCTTACATCTGAAGGGCATGCTGCAATATGTTTACCAGAATTACCTGAAATTACATGTGTGGTGAGCCTTGGATTTGATTTCCTCCATTTAAAAGGCCAGATCCCAATCAGAAGGCTTCAGAAGGAATTGCTTAATAAAGTGGTCACCAACTTCAAAAGTCACCACACATAATTGTCTACAGTTAGTTTTTTCTTATGGTTAGTTACCACCAGTGTCTCCGGTTCTGTGTGACACAGGTTAGAAAATGTTGATTTTTTTTAAAGACTTCTGTTCTAAAAATGTGGACAGATCAGCTCTCTGTGGAGCAGTGTCATGGCTCAGCTCTGGATGGAATTAGGCTCAGGGTAGATCAACGTCACTAAATTCTGATTGCCTGGATGGGCGAATGAGCACTGCAGCCATGCTTGCAACTTTCCTAGCAAGCCTGCGTTGGTGGCAGGAGGAATGGGGAGGAGTGACATTTTCTGTGACTTTACACACATGAAATTGTGACGCTTAAATCCCTGTCAGGACAGTGGCTTCCATTGCTATCTGATAAATTCTTAACGAACATATTTGCATGGGGATTTCCTAAATGAAAAGAGGTGGCTCAAAATGCTGGGCTATCAAGGTGGGTCTTGCTTCAGATATCAAACACTGTGTCCCAATCCAAAATGAGAATACTGTATTTAGCCAGCCGTTCTCTGTATTTTGCAGTACCCGTCTGGAGATGGGGAAGTGGATGGAAGACCTAAATGTGGCGATTGAAATGGCCAAAAAATCTAGCAATAAATCTAAAGTGTTTTTGGAAAGCTCCATGTATAATCGCTCTAACAGTAAGTAACGTTATGTTTTGTGTGTTCCATAAACCCCTTAACTAGCGCTTATTTTGGGGAACATTCCCGTTTAACCATCCCGTGCTTTTTCCAGTCCATAGAAGCTAGTGTGTTTAGACAAGAAGTTATTTTATGTCCTGACATGCTGTTGTCAGTCTCCAAGAAGCTGCTGTTACAGTGGTCTGTGATGACGCATGTGGCATTTCTTTTTCCAAGTCAGAGCCTTCTCTGGCTGCATTATGGTAAAACATGCTCAGTGTTTTTACACAAGCTTCATTTTTGGTTTCTAGAAGTGAGATCAACACAGTTGTATCGTAAAGGCCAGAATGGCCTGTTGAATGTGACTGTCAGGAGTTGTGTAACAGATTAATGTCTGTCAGTATTGGACAGATCCAAGAGAAAGCTGCAGATCTCCTGTGGAATCCCAGTTTCTGCACTGGCTGTGTATCTCAGTTTTCTTAAACTGCTGCTGAATTCTCCTCCCCCAGGATCCTCTGATGAGGTCTCTCTAGAGCAGGAATCCGAAGATGACATACAGTCTTCTCGTAGCTCCCTGGACAGGCAGAGCCATCACCGTGCCAACACTACCATGCACGTGTGCTGGTACCGCAACACCAGTGTCTCCATGACTGACCACAGTGTGGCCGTCGAGGTATCCCATAGGGCACAGCTCTCACTTCTCAATGTCTGTCTCAGCTCATTCACCACCTGGGCTTCCTCCAGCATGTTTCTGTGGCCATTCGAGAGCGAGCGAACAAGCAAGAGGCCAATGTTTGAGTGTGTATGTGTGTGTGTGTGTGTGTGTGTGTGTGTGTGTGTGTGTGTGTGTGTGTGTGTGTGTGTGTGTGTGTGTGTGTGAGAGAGAGTGAGAGCGTGAGAGAGAGAAAATACACGTTGCTACCCCCACCACAGTGTTCTTATTCAAAGGAGTGTTTTGAAGGAGGAAAACATAAAAGAAAACTAGGAGACTTCTAGGACAATTGTTTACGAGTTTCTTGAGCTTCTCCGGAGGGAACTGACTGTGTTTCTGCCGACTGTGTTCTAGTTTATGGCCAACTCTGAGCTATCAAACCTGGAATTTGGGTGGTAATTAGTTACTGAACTTCCTGCATTGCCCTTGGACTTAAAAACTGCTTTACTCTCCAAATTCTCATAAAGTGGATTTATTTCTCCTTTGAGGGGGCCTCTACATATTCCTATTTGTGCACTATACCCTCCCCTGAACCCATCCTGCTGAGCTTTGGGAAGCAGGGAGTGCCATTCCCATTCAGCATTTGTCTGAGTGTTTCTAGCAGTTCATTGAGACTTGTACGTCAGCTAGGGAGCTGGTATCTCAGTGTGCTAGAGCTCACTCTGCCCATCTCTTCAGCATAAAAATCTGCAGGGCTGCCCACACCGAGCACTACGAGTTTTGAGGCTTCCTTTCAGAGGCAGTTCTGTATTCGTGGTTTAGACGGCCCTCCCCTTCCTGGAGGATTGTACTGCTAGCCAGACTCTCACAAGTGGGAATATGTAGTTGTTGCCTTGAAGGCGAAAACATGGTTACTTTAGTAACTGTGGTTCTTTAAGAATGTGTTCTGTGCATAGTTCCACTTTCCTGTGTTCCTCAGAGCTCTATTCTCAAAGCACTCACATTTAGTGGAGGGAAAAGAAGCAGGGAATTCATTTGTTCAGGGTTTACCTAGCATATTAATAAGTTCTTTTGGGGGGAAGTTTTATAAACATTTTACGTGGGAGTGGAGACCACGAGTTTGTCATCTTGCCAGCAGGCAAACTGGATCCTGTTTGAAGGAATCTGGTCTTGCTTCCTTTGGCAAATTTATGAATGTCACCAGATGGTTATTACACTGAAGTGCTGTGAGCGTCACATCACTGACTGAGGGATTGCAGTACGAGTTCTCTCCGCGCCTGTTTGCTTTGCTCTCTATTTCGGATTCTAAGACAATGACTTTTCACATTTCTTTGCCATTTAACAGATGCTTTTCTTACATCACTTTTCTTCTAAAGCTCTAGTTTCTCTCTCTCTCTCCCTCTCTCTACTCAGTTTTCTGCTCTCTTGCTGTTTCTCCAGAGCTTCCTTCTCGGTATTTGCTGGGCCAGACTCATCGGCCCAACACAATCACCCATGTTTGCTGGTACCGGAACCAAAGCCTATCCCTACCTGATTACCTATGCATGATACAGGTAAAAAACTCCTCTAAAGTTGAATCCTAAGCAAACAAAACAAAACAAATCCTATTTTATCTGTGATCGTATCCTGCACCTTAAACATCGTGCAAGTGTGAAAATGCCTGATCTATGCAGAATAGAAGTTGTGATGTTTGGTGTGGAAGTCCATTGGTATCTTGTCTGGCCTTCAAAAAATAGCCTCGATATCCTTTCAGGTTATCTCATGCCAGACTAAATTCTGGGCTTTTTTTCTTTTTCATTAGATAGAAAACTAATGCGCTGTCATTTCTTCCTATAGTTTTAGCCACATCTATTTCTTTTCTCACTGTACCACTGTTCTAGTGCTCATGTTCCAGTATGCCAGTATATTAACTGAATAATGCTCCTTGCAACATGCTGTCCATTCCTGGCTTAGCTTTATGTAACTCTAGCCTACTGCAGAACCCCTGTGTTAATTAAGAATCCTTTTTTGCTTGTTCTTGTGTTTTATTTTGGATCTCACGCAGCATCTCCTGTACTTGCTCTTTCACATAAAGCAAATGCAGTGTCTTGGTGGATGTTGCCTGTTCTTAGCATGTTTCAGGGAGACAAGCTGTGAAGAATGACAATGGTAGGGTCACATTCTACGGAGATGAACATCATGCTCTTCTCAGGGAGGTGATACGGGTACTAAACCTTTGAAATAATACACTTAAACCCATACAGTAATGGAAACCAGTCAAGTCTCAGTCTTAGTGTTAGTCTGTATCTGTAAATGCAAAGAGGAGTCCTGTGACACCTTACAAATTAACAGATTTATTTGGTAAATAATCACATACTCAAGGTCAGCCATTTTCCATGTAGGTGAAAATGCCATGCAGAACCTGTTCTGCATATACAAAAGGAGACCATTTTGTAGAGATGGCAAATTGACCACACAGAAATGTGTTACTGCATTCCATCAGTAACGGGAACATCCTGGAAGCCTCTCAAATCATAGGTACAGGACTATTTGTTAATTGCTCTGCATTATCTAGGAGCAGCCACAATAGGCAACATCCGTCAGTATATGGAATAGTGCCAGTGGATGCACTGGTCTTGTTCTTGGAGAGAGTGATCAGAGATCTCAGGGTTTTCTTTTTCTTCATTGCTAGAATCAGCTTTCAGGGTACCTGCTGAGGAAGTTCAAAAACAGCGATGGCTGGCAAAAGCTCTGGGTCGTCTTCACCAACTTCTGCTTGTTCTTCTACAAAACTCACCAGGTAAGCTCCAGTAGAGGCACTGGTTGTCTGGGCCCTGGGGAGGAGACACTGGACAGAAGACACAAGTACAGCTTTGTACGTCCTCTACCCAAAAGTGCCTCTTCTCTCTGTATTGAATTGACTAACCCCAAGGGCATGTAGCAGAGGCAGCAATTAGTGGAGTCAGGCTATGTATGGCTAAGGGCCTTTCTTTCACAGCTTTACTCAGGATATCCTGGTTTGCAAGTGGCACCTTGGAAGTATGAGGGGTGAGAATCTCTTGAAACAGTGGCTAACAGGTGTCCAATGGATTAATGAACCTTTCACCTATGCCTGTCCTTTTCCTTTGCAGTTAGATGCCAGTCCAATCTTCCCCACTCCTTTTAGAGTTGAGCGCAGCTAACCATTTGAAATAGGCCTCATGAATTGCTGTGACAATGGAGTGGTTAGTGGATGTTTCTATAGTGGACATTGGCAGAGTTACCTGCACTTTTGGCCCTCATTCAAGCAATACACCTCTGTCATTTTCAATGGGCTTCTTGCCTTGAGGACACAGTGTTAGAAGAAAATCTTGGAATAGTGCTCTGGATTTGAGTGACGAAGTGGTGAAAATGCAGGAGACAGGAAGAGGCAGGGGAATAGAATCACAGAATCCTAGAGCTGGAAAAGACCTCAGGAGTCACTGAGTACGTCAGCTTTTCCCACATCGTCTCTCACTAGGTTACTCCCCCATTCGGTAAGGGTCCCACCCCCTCTCTGATCACCCTCTTTTTGCTAACATGCCTGGAGAAACCTCTCGTTACCCTTCACACCCCGTGCTTAGCTGGAATTCCAGTTGTGCTTTGGCCTCCCTGATTCCAGCCCTGCATGCTCGAGCAATGTATTTACACTCCTCCCTGGTCATTGGTCCAGGTTTCTACTTGTCAGCTTCCTTTTTGTGTTTAAGCTCGTCAGAGATTTCACTGTTAAGCCAATCTGGTCACCTGCCATATTTGTGTTTCTTACTGTGCATCAGGATGGTTCGTTCCTGCACCTTCAATAAGGCTTCTCTAAAATGCAGCCTGCTCTCCTGGACTCCTTTCCACCTCATGTTAGCGTCCCAAGGGACCCTGCCCATCAGTTCCCTGGGGGAGTCAGTCTGCTCTTCTGAAGTCCAGAGTCTGTATTCTGCTGCTCCCCTTTCTTCCTTTGGTCAGGATCCTGAAATCGACCATCTCATGGTCACTTCTGTCCAGGTTGCCACCCACATCTACTTCCCCTGCTTATTCCTCCCTGTTTGTGAGCAGCAGGTCAAGCTGCACATGGCCCCTGGTCGGTTTCCTCAGCACTTGTACCAGGAATTTGTCCCCAATATTCTCCAAAAACGTCCTGTATTGCTGGGTACTGCTCTATTGGGCTCCCAGCAGATGTCAGGGTGATTGAAGTTGACAATGAGAACCAGGGCTTGTGTCAGTTGTCTGAAGAAAGCCTCGTCCACCTCATCCACCTGATCCGGTCTACAGCAGATACCCACTATGACATTACCTGCCTCTAACCATTACTCAAATACACTCAACAGGCTTTTCTCCTATTTTATACTGAGGCTCTAAGCAATCATACTGCTTTCTTACATACAGTGCAACTCCTCCTCCTCTTCTCCCCCGTCCTTCCTGAATAGTTCAGACCCTTCCATAACAGTGCTCCAGTCATGGGAGTCATCCCACCAATTCTCTGTTATTCCCAATCAAATCATAGTTCTTTGTGCCAGTACTTGCAATTCTTCCTACTTGTTTCCCAGGCTTCTTGTGTTTGTGTACAGACACCTTAGATAACTAGCTGATTGCCCTACCTTCTCAGTATGAATCAGAGGTCCTCATCTGTTGTTCCTTCTTCCTTGTGTTTCTTCCCAGCATCCTGCTTCCCCACTTACCTCCGGGCTTAGGTCACCATTCCCTGACAAACCTTGATTAAAGCCCCCTTCACTAGGTTTGCAAGCCTGCCCGCGAAGATGCTCCTTCCTCTCTTGGTTAGGTGGACCCCATCTCTTCCTAACAATCCTTGTGCCCGGAACAGAGTCCCATGGTCAAAGAAACCAAAGCCCTCTCTGCGACACCACCACGCACCCGCACATTTACTTCCTCAATTCGACGATTCCTACCTGGGCCTTTTCCTTCAACAGGGAGGATGGATGAGAACACCACTTGCACTTCAAATTCCTTGATCCTTCTTTCCTGTGCTACATAATCTGCAGTGACCCGCTGGAGGTCATTCTTAGCCGTTTTGTTAGTTCCCACATGGAGAAGTAGGAAGGGGTAGTGAAGGCTTGATCCATCTCAGAAGACTCTGTCACATCCTGAATTCTAGCTCCAGGCAAGCAGCGCACTTCCCAAGTTCCCCCGTCTGGACAGCAGATGGATGACTCTGTTCTCTTTAGGAGGGAGTCCCTGACCACCACCACCCGTCTCCATCTCTTGTGGCTAGTGGTTGTGGAACCCCCATTCCTAGGACTGTGCATCACATGCCATCTGGTCAATGGGATCTTCTTCTGATCCCTGCCCACAGAGGTCTCTTCTAAAGCATCCTCCACTGTAGTGCCTGTGCAGAGATCCTGAAAGCAATTACTTACCTCTGTCTGGATTGGAGATACCTGAGTTGTCTGCCTTCTCCTAAAGGTTAATGCTGCCAATTTTATTCCTTGTTCTGCACTGCCCTTTCTGAATCTTCAGCATCCTGTGTCTGCAGTATCAAATGCCGACTTCTACTCAAAGTCTTAATTTTCTCTGATAATTGGGCCTCTAGTGCTTTGGCCTTCTCTTCCAGTATGGAGACCAGCTTGTGTTTGATACAGGCAATCTCTTCTACCCTCTGGAGGAAGACATACATGGCACTTGCTGTGCAGGCCACACCACCTGGTCTCTCACTATCCATTCTCTCTTCCTTCTGAGAGACTCCTCAGCTGTTGTATTTACTGCGCCCTGAAGCCTGGAGGGGAGGAGAAAAAACAAACAAAAAAAGCCCAACCTCTGTGGAGCTCCCCAAAAGCAAACTCCCTCTGTTCACTGCTCATGCAGTTCGCTCTGGCTGCTTTTTTTGTAAGGCTGCTGGCTCAAAGCATTGCCTCCAAACCAGTCAACCCCCCAGGTCCACCTTGAACAAAGCATGACCATGCCGTGTGTTGTTTTATTATGTTCCGTTATTTTACTAAAATAATTACACAAGCTTCAGGAAAATGTCATCATTTACAATGTAGGGGGTCTCACGATAGATTGGGGTGGGCAGACTTTTCTGCATTGAGCTCCACATCTGGGTACGGAAATTGGAGGACCATGAATGCAGATGCTACTGCGGTAAGGAATGGGGAGGGTGGTTTGGCAGCTGTCGTGTGGGTGGGGCCATTCAGACCAAGAGAGGGACTGGCTGAAGAGCGAGGAGACTGGTGCCCTCGGGACTGGGATTGGTCCTGCTCTGCTGCCCAGGAATTGGGCTCGTCTGGGCATCAAGTAGGAAAGGATGGAGAGGGCTGTGACTCCCCAAACAGCCAGGGGTAGCCTGGCTCCTGCCCATATCCAATTGTCCCCCAGGACCTCTGCCCCTATCCAACATCCCCCACTTCTCACCACTCCCGACCACTCCGAGAACCTCCACCCACATCCATGCCACCCAGAGCATTGGGGCTGGTGGCATGAGAGCTGTGCTGCCCGGGAGCTGAGGCTGTGGGTGGGGCAAGGCACAAGTGGAAGGTCCAGGGGCTAATCTCCTTGGGCAGCCAGATCACCAGCCACCCCTGTGGTTGCCAGGGTATTAAGCTGCCTCCCCCTGGGAAAACTATCCCAACTCTGCTCCCCAGCAGGAGCTCAGGGGCCGGACTGAAGGGTCCAGTGGGCCAGATGTAGCCTGCAGGCTATAGCCTGCCACCCTCTGCAATAGATGGAAAACCAGCTTCTCGTCTCACCCTCTGCTGAGAGAGAGTCAAGCTGTTCTTGCCTGTGCAGCGGAAAGCTCTCACGCACTCTGGGTGCTGTCTGTGCTGACTGGCTTTTTCACCAACTGCATCCCAGGACGACTATCCCTTGGCCAGTCTCCCACTGCTCGGCTACTCAGTCAGCGCCCCCACGGAGGCAGATGGCGTTCAGAAGGATTATGTCTTCAAGCTGCAGTTCAAGTCCCACGTGTATTTCTTCAGGGCTGAGAGCAAGTACACCTTTGAGAGGTAACGACGCTTCCCGTGCCCCCATCCGCCTGGGTGCATTAGTCCAGAGTTGAGATGTTAGAGCCAGTCCCTGTTGCTGTGCACACTGCAAGTTCCCCCGTGTGGCATCCACTGACTGTCTCACCATCCCTGATGTCCTCAAAACTCCTCTGTGGTCACTGCTTCAGATCTGTACTCACATCTGCAGGGAATAGCTCTGCCTAGTTGGAGCTCTTACCTCTTTCTCTACTGTGACTTACTAGACATCCCAAAAAACCCTGGGTAACATACCTGTGCAGAGGGATGTCAAATATCGGTTAATTGACTAGTCGGTTAACCTCATGAATTCTTATCGGTTAGTCAACTAGTCCACAGTCCCCAGGCAGCCCCTGTCTGGGAGGGAGAGACAAAATATCGGTTAATTGACTAGTCGGTTAACCTCATGAATTCTTATCGGTTAGTCAACTAGTCCACAGTCCCCAGGCAGCCCCTGTCTGGGAGGGAGAGACATAAGCTCCTGGACCTGGCATGAGCCAGAACTGAGCCGGGCTGCCTGCCCGCCTGGCTCCTAATACAATTTAAATGCAGAGCCGCAGTGGGGGTAGGTCTAGGACCCAGTGCAAGCTGGGCCTGAGCTGGGCTGCTAGCCAGCCTGCTAAAAATTTACTGTCGGGGGGAAATGTGTGTGGTCTATAGCATTAACCGATCAGCTTTTGCTCATCGGTTAATCAACTGCACAGTTACATCCCTAGTGTGGAGCTACATTCCCAACTCCTTGCCTAGCATGCCCCGAAGCATAGTCGCCTTGGTGCTGGCAGCCTTTTGACACACAGTTGATTGAGAGAGGTTATCATTAGGGCAGAATCCTTGTCTCTTTAGACAGGCATGGTGTCGAGATTGGAGCCCAGGGCTGGGGGCTGGCAGCTCTGCATTCAGTGGTTGTCTTTGCAGCTATCATGCTCTGACACGTTTTTGAATGCCAGCAGTACTTCACCCTCACAATGGCCATTCCTCCTCGTTCCACAAGGCATACAGATAGTTCGGATTAGGAGGCCTAATCCGAACTAGCTAGTCCGTGCCACGTGTAGCCGCGTGGCACGGGGTCCGAACTAGCCGGCATTTAAAAATGAAGCCCCGGAAATTCAAATCCCAGGCTTCATTTGCAACTTCGTATGACTACATTACCCCCCCTAGTTCGAACTAGGGGGGTAGTGTAGACATACCCATAGTTCCCAGTGGCCAAAGATAACCTCTTTAATGAAGAGAGCTCTCCTAATAGAAATATGGGAGAATCCGGTGAGCCAGAATTCAAAAATACGTGCATGGGGCTAACTTTCCAAACGAGACTGCCTTTGGGCAGCATCACCCACAGGTGGCTCAGTCTTCTCTTCCGGTGAGGTCCAGCCCACTACAAATTACTCCAGGAGGCAGGAGAGATGATAGCTGTCTCATTTCACACTGTTTTTTTCTAATCTCTAGTGGAGATTTTAGGGACTGCCTTGTGGTCACCACTCCAGTGTTGGTTATTTCCAGAGGTATCATCTCAGGTTTCTCTGACCTTGGGTCTAACAAAAGATCCGGTTTCACTTAGTAACTTGTTTATGGAAGATATTGGCTCTTTTCCTGATCCTAAGACACTTAGAATAGACTTTGAAATATTGAAAATATTAGAGCTTTCCCTAACTAACATGAGCCAGTGAAATGTCTCCACTGAAGAAATACAAAGTAGATCAAGGGACTCCTTATGGAAGTCTGAGAGAGAGTATCAAAACCGCCACGTGTCTGCTGGCTTCTGATGATCCCTCAAATGCAATGCAGTTGACAAGCCAAGTGACACCCGCTTCAAATCCACAACTATGTGATCCCTTCTTTTTTTGTTGTTCATTTTTTCTAGACTGAAATAAGCTAGTTAGCATCCTGTGTGGGACTTTCACTTTCCAAAATAAGATTAAAAACTGTCTATTTGCTCTCAGTTGTTAAAGCAGCGTAACTGATCATGTCTGTGGTAAACTGTATAGGCATAATTGTCACTTTGGCTACACTGATCCTGCCAAAGGGTGTTTAGATTTTGAGCCATTTTAATGTGTTACCCTGTTTGTTCATTAATGCGAGGACGTTACATACAGTGTGCAGTGCTGACGAGGTCACTCCATCTCACTTTGGATCCCACTTTCCCCTCTGCAGGAAAATGGGGTTCACACTGCCTGCCTCATAAGGGTTTGCAAGCCTTAGGCTTGGTCTACACGATGCATCTTTTAGCAGCAAGGCGGTGTGACAGTCCTGTCGCTAGAAGTTGGGCAGTGTCGCTGCTGCTTGTTGGCACTTCTGCTGACAAAATATTTCCACTCCCAGGAGCAGCGTTCGCTTTGTCAGCAGGAGAGCTGTTCACACCAGCACTTTGCATGGCAAAACTTGTGTCTTTTGGGGGCAGTGCCTCAGAACGACAAACACTTGGTTGCTCAATTGCCAGTGGAGGCAAGTCTCCATGTTTTTAGCATGTGTGTATGCACATTAAGTTGGCCAGGGTGGTTCTGAGCTTGAGGAGAGACACCCGTGCTAGCTCTGATTGAGGCACACCACTAAAAACCAAACATAGCCTAGTAGGGAGAGCAGTGGGAAGGGCTAGCTGGCCTGAGTCCGTATCTAGCAACTGTACTAGCGTGGGCAGTGCCTCCCCCTACGCCTGCTGCCAATGGCTGTGTTCCCTATTCAGCATGCTAGCTGAGGCATGCGCTCAGGCTGGAAATCGCTCTCCCAGCTCAAAGCGTTTGACAGTCCTTGGATGAAAGCCGGGTACAGGAGTCAGTGGTGTTGTACGTTGAAACCCTCCATAGATGAGTGGCCAATTCCATGCATTTGACCTCAGCAATCTCTTGTAAGCAAAGGACATGGCCTCGAGTGTTGTAAACGCTTTGTTGTTCCTCTCTTGCCAGGTGGATGGAAGTGATTCAGAGAGCTACAAATTCTCCAGGGAGATCGAGCCCGGCGATTCCCATGGAGGAAAAGGATATTCACACAGACTGAAGGGGGCAGCGCTGGGTCTCAGCTGTCGACATCTGTAGTGGGGTGGGATGGAACAGGATTGACGGGTTGATAAAGCAGTAACATGAGATGCTTGTTTCCACCTACTGTGGAAGTTAAACAAACCAGGGGAGTGAGGAACTGGGGTCACGCCAGGTTAGACTGGACTAGAGTCTGCTACAGTCAAAGCTAACTGGAATGAATGAAACTAGCAATGGCTGCAAAATTCCCACTCTGGGAATCCTATGATTTGCTGTGTGCATGCGTCCTGGAGGGTACCACATTCCAGCTGTGGGTTCTGTACAGGATTCAGGGCATGCCTTGGTGGAGACAGCTGGCCGTGCTTATTGTGATGGGATGGATCAATTGTGCTTTCTAGGTCCCAGGAGTTCCCTTCTGACAGTCAGTGTGGAGAAGCAACCTCTGGACTGCCAGCTGCTGTAGCATCGACCTGCTGGCCCAGACTTCTTGGACAAGCTGGGGATCTGCAGATGTATCCAGCCAGAGGCCTGCACTGGCATGAATTTCAAACTGAACATACAGCTGCTGTGGCATCATGGAGTTCATCAGGAAATTGCCATGGCAACAACTTCACTTGGGGAGGGGGGATGGGGAGAACATGAAGCTTTTAGTTGTAGAGGCATTGCAGGTACAGCTTGGAGTGGGAGGCCTAGATGAGAACACACGAGACTTCCTTCACGCCGAGCCTGCTCTCTTGCATGCTGAAAGGGGCCTACCAGATACGTTTGTTATAGTTCGAGTCTTCTGCATCCCTCATGGGGCGGGCTCCTCTGACAAACCACGTAATCACTCCGCTGGGGAGGCTGGGATGGCCAAAGCACTGAGCACATCCCCAGTGTGGGTTGTTGCTGCCCGTGAGTGGTATTTTCAAAAGGCACAGGAGCATAAGCCCTGTTGAAAGTCACTGATACTTGTGTTCATATGCTACTTGGGGGCTTGAAAATCCCAGCCCTGCACTCTGCGGAGGTGACATCCCCTTCAGTTCTAGCATCACGGGAGAGCATTCGAGCCCGGCACCAGCTCTCTCGGTTGTGCCACCACAGTCAGGATAAAAGTCGTTTCAATCTGCTTCACTGCCTGCAAATTTGCTGTTGCCTTTGGATGCTGCGCAATTCAGCACTTGAGCAAAATATGGATGCCCCAATTTCAGGCCTGGGAAAGCTATAATAAGCTGAAGTAACAGCTGTTGCTGCTGCATAAATGTGGCTTGGAGGGGCTGGTCTGCATTTCAGATGGCGAAGTAGTGATGTATCAGGGAAGGGAGGTGTTTGCGAGTGATAAGGAAGTGCTGTGTGATGTGAGGAGGGCAGAGATCCCTTTGGAGCAGGGGAGATGCGGGTGCTTGCATAGGCAACTGTTTCCCCAGACAGAGACTCTGGGTTGGGTTGGTGCAAAGTCTCACAGGAAGGACAAGGATCCCAGATTGAGGATTCTCGGTACCGTGGCACCTTCACCCATAAAGAAGCAGAGACTGGACCAGTGTGTCATAAGGACCGTTGTCCATTGCGAGTTCAATGTACTTTTTAATTTATTAGTGTCTTAAAATAAACATGTAGCGGTGCCAGTGCATGTTCATTCGCCATTTCTGCTGTGACCCAGCTGAGCGTAAGTGGCCTGGTGTTGGCAGCGTGCAGTAGCTGCGTGTAAGGCTCTGGCCGTGTGGCTGTGTTCATGCTAATGCTGTCTTGCTCTTGGGAAGGTACGTGACCTCTGCCTGCAGGCCGGGTAGTTCAGGCCTTTAGGAGTCACTGGTGGGACAGCCCTGGCTCTGGGCAAAACACTTATTCGTGAGATTTATAGCAATCTCAGGACCCAAGAGTAAGAGACCTGTGTGATGGCCTCTTCAAAGAATTACACGTGTGATTTTCTCCCCTTGAGGGTTGAGTTAAACCCTCTTCTCCCTTAGCTCTACAGCGTGGAGCAGTGGCTTTGGACTCCGTGCTGTAACGTGGTTGAACTGCTACTGTAAGGAGAAAAAGGGTTACCTACCAGTAACTAGAGTTTCCTGAATCTGTCTACATGGACTCTCTCCTTAAACCTCCCCTTTATAGCCCTTTGCTCTGACTGAGACAGAGAGGACTTAAAAAGACTGTTAGGAGCAAAGGGCCTTTCACAGCGATGACGGTGTGGTTTGTTACACTCTGATTACCTGCTGTTGCTTTTACTTCTTGAAGTGGTTCCATGGCTTGTGAGTGTGGCACGCAACTCTTACAGTGCAGATGAGCAGAGACAGTCTGTCGGAAACACTCAGACTGGTAAGTCCTTGTGGCATAGAGCATACACCAAACCCACTGGATCCGTTTGTATGGCCCTCCACTGCCTACCTTGAGGTCCATGATCCAGCCGCACCAGGGTCATGAAGAGGGCAGGATGGGACATTCCGCACGAAAGCCCTGCATGTGCAGATACATTTGTCGCATGGTGCTCTGGCGAGACCCATAAGGCCGGAGCAGGGGGTCAGGCATTGCTGCTGCAGAGTGGGCTTGTTCTCTCACTTTCCCTGGTGCCCCCCACGCCTGCCCCACCACACTGTGAGAGAGGGCTCTGTAACCGCCTTCTACCTGAAAGTTGCTCACCTCTGATTTAGTCTCTCCAAAACCATCTAGCCTTAAGCAACCCAGAGCAGCACCATCTACCTTGTATACTAAAAGAGGAAAACCCTTAAGTCTCGTGCATTGACAAGTACAGCGTTAATTGATTTCACCTGATCAAACAGCAGGACTTGTGTGAAAATGCTCTCAAAGAAAAGCAGACTTGGAATCAGTCACTTACCAGCCCTGTACCGGTTGTCAGTTATAAAAAAATGTGTCTATCAGAGACTGGGATGTGGGCAGCAACAGTCATGCCAATATTTTGGAGAGTACAGGGGCAGGCTCTAAGAGGATGTGTTTCTGTGCCAAGAGCTGGTTGTGGAGAAGTTAAGGGGTTCCTGTCCATAACAGAAGAAAAAACACCGTTCCTCATGGGGTTAGTCCCTGTTTCCTGATGAAACACCTATTTGTGCTGATGAAGGTCTTTTTACTTTCACAAGAGCATCTAAGTTTTCATAGCAATCAAAAAGTGAGGTGAGAACCCTACTTGTAATGGAGATCAAGGTAATGATAGCAAGCCAAATCAGCCACCCAGTTGAGAGCAACATGTAATCTCCTGGCTTTTCATTTAGAGTTCTTTCAGGGAGACTTGTTTTTAAATCTCCCATGTTGCAGGGCACAGAGCTTAAATTCAACAGTAGGTAGCAGCTTTCAGCAGCTCTGGAGAAGTTTATCAATTAAAAACCTGAAAGGGGATTCTGATGAACTTTCTACACAGAAAAACAACACCCTCAAGGATTCTTGGCTACTCATATGGTCCCCACCGCCTCAGTGCCTCGCAATGTCTAATGTATTTACCTGCGCAGCAGAGTTCTTGTTCCTATTTTACAGACAGGGATCGGAGAGCTAGAGGGGTTAAGTGACTTTGGCAAAGTCGCAAAGAGTCTCTGGCAAGGCAGCAACTTGAATGTGCTGCCTGATTTCCAGGGTAGCTGCCTAATCATTGGATCATCCTTGTTATCAGTCACAAGAGGAATTTTGAAAGTTAACTTGAAGTCTCGATATTTGCTTCCTTCTGCCCTTGCATGCATGTGGTCTGCAGAGGCTCTCGGCTGAGGAAGAGGCACAGCCTTCCCTTGAACTGGATCAGGAAGAGGATGATGTATTCTGCCATCACTGGAGCAAAAAGCAGAAGCCTTTAAAGTGAATGGGGAAAATGATGGTGGAATTTGCTCCTTGGAGGAAGCATAGATTACAAATGTGTATGCACTTACAGGCCAGGGACATGGACCACAAACCAGAGCTTACAGTAATGAGCAAAATGGGGGAGGGGGAGCACAGACCTCTGTAATATTCACAAGTGAAATGTTCTCCAAATTGCTTACTATGAAGGAGGATATGCAAAGGAAGGCAGTAGGCATAAAAACCAATGGAAAAACAACAGCAGCCTAACTCCTGAGACTGCAGAACATTGCCTTTGACGACAGGAGAACTGGAGACAGCCAGCAGAAAAGAATGTACTCTGGCTACTCCTACACAGGGCAGTGCCGAGAGTGAGAACGGGTGCACTCCGGAGGAGTTCAAGGAGAACTTCCTACCAGGATACTGTCAGGCTCTCACTACTGGCAGACATCCCAGCTGAGATTAGCACAAGCGGTACTCCTGTAGATTCTCTTAGAGGTGTGATTCACGTTGACTGGACTGAGTGATAGCTTAGCACAGGGGTCGTCTTGTTCCACTAGAAACAAATGGTCTTCAGTCCTGCATCACAGTTCAGACGGCCACAATGACAGTCCTGCTGTTAGTCACTACTGTGAGAGAGAGGAATTATTTCTTTAGCTGCTCTTTGAAAGAAAATGTTAAGGTAAGACTCTCTGCTTCTGTGGCCTCCTTTCACAGAAGGTCATTTTCCTTCAGTCTCCCCCCCAGCACTGTGGGTCATTTCACGTTGGTCGGTGCTGCTGAACTTCCCTCAGCACATGCTGGAGAAAACGGTGACTTAGTTTGGCCGCCTTGCAGGTATTTGTGTTTGATGTCTGTGTGATGCCACCCTAACCTCAGCTCCAGGGGACAACAGCTTGCACTGCTGCATGCAGCTGTGTGAGGAGAAAACACCCAGCATGTTCAGGTTTGACACACGCGAACGCAGAGGGCGGGTCAGTGAACATGCTGCTCAGGTATAGAAAAACACAGTTTGAGAACCACTGTCCTGGCCCTCCCATCTCACTGCTGAACTTGCAGCAGTTACGGTCCATTGCGGATGGGAGCTAACAGTCCCACCACTGAAATAGCACTGAAGCAAGCTGGCGGGGAGAGCGAGTATTTCCTTCCCTACGAGTGGCAGCTGAGATACCTGTCAGTCTGGCTCAGCAGTGCTGGCAGCCATTCAGGTTCAGAAAGGCCTACAAAGGGTGCTGGGGCACCCAAGGGCTTTGCGGTCTGTGGAATTGAGGCTAAAACGACCACGTCTTTAATTTGTTATTTTATTGAGAGTGGCAGATCCCTTTCAATGCTCTGGTAAAACCTAACACCACTGCTGCGCAGGATGCTGCCGGGACTGTTCCCTTGACACTGCAGCACACGCGAAGGATCACCCAAGGTACCGTATTAACACAATGTGCTACCATCATGAACAGCATCAAGTTCAAAGCAGCAGGAGACTTTCTGTGAGCCGCTCCCTTTTTTCTGGCTGAGGGTGTTAGTCCATAGTGTTATGCACTATGGCTGGACTCAGACGGGTGTTTGCTGTTCACTTTAGCATGGGATGGGGCAACTCCTGGCCCAACAGTCCGAAACCTGCATGGCTGCAGGTAGGAAGCACAACCCACATTTGCCTGTTAGCTAAGTGGTCCAGCTTTCAGAGATGCTGAGTATCTGCAGCTACTTGGGGAGCTCTCTGAAGACACATCACTTATGTGACTAGATTTAGCTGCTTAGCTTTAGGCACCCAGCTTTCAAAATGTCAACTCCTACTCTGGTTTCCTTCCAGACCCTGGCGTGCCAGTGTTCACTGGAGAGCTGATAAATGGAGACCTGAAATTCCTGGCTAAACACGGGAATACCGACTGACCGAAGTGTTCTGCACGCCGGGAAAGCAGTGAGATGCAGTTCCGTCCCTAGCCTGTGCGCCCCTCTCGGAGTGCGTTGGCTTCTAGCGATGTACAGCAGTTTTAAGAACTGGTTCATGAGAGTAGAGCGGAGGAGAAATTGACTTTGGTATCCCAGGCACAGCCGTCAAGGAGCAACACTACCAGCTGTTAAAGTCAAAACTGAATTTTCTTCAATGGGGAATCACTGTCAAGAATTACAGACTAACCCTTTAAGCAGCTTTGCGAGCCAAGGCTCCTTTTTCTAATGCACATCAAGCTTAGTGTTTAGCTTGTCTCGCCTCAGGAGTGGCTGGGCGCTCATGCCCCGGTCAGTGTGCTGGGCCCATGAGAAGCAGCCAGAAGAGGCTCTGAAGGGAACACAAAGCTCCCCTCTCGAGTGGGGTACTTTAAAACCAATGCAGCTGCCTTATTCCTGCTGGTCTATGGAAGTGAGGCTGGCTCCCGCAAAGCAAGTCCTGGGGGAAGATCAGCAAACCCGCCCTGTGCACGTGACAAAACAAGATCGCTACTCGAGTGAAAAGTGGGGGACCCTTCCTTCCACTGCTGCTCGTTCGAGGCTTTGTTCTGCTCGGGCTTGAAGGAAACCAGCCTGGTGGAGCTAGAGTAGTGTCCTGACTCAACAAGTTGCTGTAGCAGATGGAACAAATGCAGCCATCTCTATTCCCTGTGCATCGCTACTCACCTATGCTTCCTTGGGGACAGGAGACGGCCGCACCATCATCCGAGCACAAGAGAACTTCCCTCTTGCGCCACCAGCCAGGGTGTTACTTTTGACAAGCTCTGAATCAAATAAAACTGGATATGTCCACTGGGAGAACAATTAAAAACTCCATTGAGAACAGTGTAAAACCAATTAGACTGCCCTCCGTGGGCTCTGCAAAAGGTCTGAATGGTACTTGCATTGTGAATCCCACCCTCAGTTGTCATGGAAACATGTACAGATGAAGGCTCTGAAATGTCCTGGTGGCCATAGCACAATGTTACATCCAACAGCAGATGGTGGTGGTCTGGATTAGAGTGTAGTTCCTATGAAGTTGGGAAAATCCTCCCGCCCCCCCGAAAGAGCAGCAATGACGGTACCGGTCAGCGGGCTGAAGTTAGGTGGTTCCGGCTGTGAGAGAACCTGGGGAGAAGGGGGAAAAGGAGACAGGTGACACTAGCTCCTCTGTTCAAATGCTACACGCCCACTGGTGCCCGTGATAGACAATGACAGAGGCACAAAGCACATCCCCAACTCTC